GTCTAACATCCTCAAAATCTCTTCTTGAAATATGTATAAGCAAAAAATATGGTTTATACATATTTCTTATTCTTTTTTTTTTTTTTTTGTTTTCCAGATTCATTTTTCTAAAACTAATGAATTTTTTCCTTATTGATTCACACTTTTGATTTAAATTTGTTTAAATGGTTTTGACAATGTTTATATGTGAACTACCCATATTTAAGAAATGTTTACTCTTTGGTGAATGGTGATTCCTTGTGGACTGACGACTCACGGCTCTTGATCATTCAGAATTGATGACGTTTGCAAGTTGGTAGAGAAGTTTTACCCTCAAGACTTTGAAGATTATGAGATTTTACAATTGAGAACGCAACTTGAACATTTTGAACATGTGCCAATTTCTTTATTTTAGAACACTAGAAAGCATTTCTGATCTATGTCAATGGTTGGTGAAAACTAGAAAATTGAACATATATCCTTTTGTGTTTAGAGTAGTAACTTTCATTCTCACACTTCCAGTATCTACAGCTACTACAGAATGATCTTTTTCTGCCATGAATATAGTAAAGACTACACTTCGTAACAAGATGGAATTGAAGATGAATTTCTTACTGATTGTTTGTTAATATACATTGAAAAACAAATTGCAAAACAATTTAGTATACATTAAATTATAGATGATTATCGTGACATGCAAGAAAGACGTTCTAAATTTTAGTAGATTTATAATATAATGATGTATTTTGAAATATGTTAAATGAATATTAATGTATTTTATTATTCTCTCTTAAATTGTGATTGCCCCCCCCCCCCCCCTCCCCACCCGCACCAACAAATCCTGGCTCCGCCCCTGTCAAAGACACAAATATCCTTCGCCATATTGACCTGCTTTCTGGGGTGAAGGATCAAGTTGAATATCTTCACAGGGAGTTGAGTTTGATGAAGGCCTTTCTTAAGAACTCCATGGACAAGCATAATGAGTATTAATATGTTCGAGAATTAGTAAGTCAAATCACGACAGTTGCGTATGAGGCATAGGATATAATCGATGCGTTTGTAATGAATGCTGGTGCCCATAAGCCGAGAAGCACCATGAAAAGAGTGATGATATATGCATTTGATCATTCTTCCAAGCTCCGCAATGTTGCCAAAGAGATTCAAACCATCAAAGAGAAAGGTTAAAGAGATTTATGACATAAAGTTATTTGGAATTGAAAGCCTTCGCGTGAGAGAGCCTTTTCGTAAAACTCCACCACATAAAAAAGCACATAATGTGGAAGAAGAAAACGGGGTAGGGTTCAATGAAGATGCTAATGTAGTCGTGGATCGCCTTACTAAAGGCTCTAAAGAGCTAGAAATTGTCTCAATTGCTGGCATGGGTGGTCTCCGAAAACAACATTAGCTAAAAAAGGTTTATACAGATCATTCCATTGAGTACCATTTTTATAACCGTGCATGGATTTATGTCTCTCAATAATACAGTAGAAAGAAGATTTTTCTTGAAATTTTTTATTCTTTAGACCTACTCAGTGAGCAGATATATAGAGTTAAATTACAATAGGTTGGTTGAAGAGCTATGTGGTCAATTCAAGAGCAATCGGTATCTTATTGTCATTGATGATGTTTGGACAAAAGAAGCTCGGGATGATCTTAAAATGGCATTTTCAAATACTAGTTGTGGGAGTAGGATATTGTTAACCACTCTGACCACAGAGGTGGCCTTGCTTGTTGATCTTGAAAGTCCTCATCATTTGCAGTTTCAAACGAATGAAAAAAGTTGCGAGCTCCTATGCAAGAATTTATTCCGAAAAAAGAAGTTTGCCCTTTTGAGTTGGAACATTTAGGATGGAAATTGCAAGAAGATATTATGGACTGCCACTTGCGATTGTGGTAGTTTCGGGACTTCTTGTAAAAAGGAAAAAGACTCGTGATTGGTGGAAGAAAATTGTTGATGCTCTGATACCATTCTGGATACAAATGATTTCAATTCTATTTCCTATACCATGATTTCACTACCTAAACTCTCAAAGGATCATACCGCTTCGATACCATTCTGTATCAGAGCCTAATCGATTCTATTTTCGATATAATCAATACATTTGTAGTGAATGTTGCTGGCCATAAGGCAAGAAGCACCATTAAAAGAGTGATGATATATGCATTTGATCATTCTTCCAAGCTCCGCAATGATGCCAAAGAGATTCAAACCATCAAGGTAAAGGTTAAAGAGATTTATGACAAAAAGTTGGTGGGAATTGAAAACCTTCGCGGGAGAGAGCCTTCTCGTAGAACTTCACCACATAAAAAAATAAAAAATAAAAAATAAAATAAAAAAACAATTATTGTGGAAGAAGAAAGCGTGGCGAGGTTAAATGAAGATGCTAAAGTAGTCATGGATCACCTTACTAAAGGCTCTAAGAAGCTATAAATTGTCTCAATTGTTGACATGAGGGTCTATGGAAAACAACATTAGCTAAAAAGGTTTATACAGATCCTTCGAGTACCATTTTTATAACCGTGCATGGATTTATGTCTCTCAACAATATAGTAGAAAGAAGGTTTTTTTTTTGGAATTTTTGATTCTTTAGGCTTACTTAGTGAGAAGATGTATAGAATTAAATGACGATAGGTTGGTTGAAGAGCTATGTGGTCAATTGAATAGCAATCGGTATCTTATTGTCATTGATGATGTTTGGACAAAAGAAGCTTGTGATGATCTTAAAATGTCATTTCCAAAGACTAGTTATGGGAATAGGATATTGTTAACCATTCAGAACAGAGAGGTGCCCTTGCATGTTGATCCCGAAAGTCCTCATCATTTGCAACTTTTAATGGATGAAAAAAAGTTGTGAGCTCCTATGCAAGAATTTATTCCGAAAAAGAAGTTGCCATTTTGAGTTGGAACATTTAGGATGCGAAATTGAGGGAAGATGTTATGAACTGTCACTTTCAATTGTGGTAGTTTCGAGACTTCTTGTAAATTTCAATTTTGATATAATCATACATTTGTAGTGAATGTTGTTGTTCAGAAGTCGAGAAACACCATGAAAAGAGTGATGATATATGCATTTGATTATTCTTCCAAGCTGGAAATTTCTTTTGAATTAGATAATTTAAAATAGCAAAACCTGGATCGGATCATTTTGAACTTAGGAACTAAAACGTAAAAAACACATTGTAATATATGTTGAGTGAAAAAAAACACCATCATGATTATTTACAATGTAATATCTATTGGGGTTCGAACCTATTACCATCCATTAATCAAACATTTATGCCACATGTCATATTTATGAATTCTTAAAATATTTACGTTTATAGAAAATTTGATAATATTGTATTAATATACGACAAAATACCAAATGATACTTTGATAAATTCTGATACATTAATTTAACAATACACATTAGGCATTAAATTATTCACGCAATACACGTGCGGTAATTAGTAATATGAGTAAACATAGCTGATTACTTGTTTACTTAATGAATCAGAATCTCCGACCACTACATTATTATATTATACATCATATATTATTTTGTTAAAATATTTATTATTTTGTTTAATTTGAATATTGCCGTTAATTTGAGGGTTCTAAATTGCATATGTTTTAAAATACATACATACACCAGAGAAAAGAGTCTTATTCCTTCAATGCCATATTATTATATTCAATTCATACACGAGAAACAAATTAATTGCTTTTGTTTTTATTTGACATTGAAAACTGATTTTAATATAATAAAATATAATATAATAGCTCAAACTAACATTACAAAACACCTACAATTTATTTATTATTTTTTTTTTTTTTAAAAAAGGGGGGGAGGGGGGCTGGGGGAAGGAAATCAGCATATACGAAAACATACAGGCATACAGCAAATACAAAAGCAAATTGGTGCTTAGAGAATGGCAAACTGCAACAGCCTCTCAAATCTCTCCCAAGTCCCAAACATAGCCTTATTTTAGTTCTGCACTTCAGCATAGAGAATAAACACTATAAAACCACATATAGGAAACTTCTGAAACACTACTTATTCTACAAATTTACACATTGTGTATCATTATAATGCAATGCTAAATAACCTTTTCAGTGCAAGTTAAATAAAAGCAATCATAAGGCAACACATCTTTCAGACTTCCAAAAGTATAAACTACAATGAATAATAAACATACCATCAACCAAAATAATAAAAATAAATTCTACCCACAACCACCACCAATACTGATAAGAAGCACACAGACAACAACGAGCACCAAAGGGAATAGAAAAAGGCACTGGAGACTCCAAGAATGAATTTATTTCCCGGACAGTTTCATCACTCGAAATAAGCAGGCAGCTGATCTACGAGAATTAAGGACACACACACACACACACACAAAAAACACAACCCATAGGCTAAACAGGTGAAGGTACTAACTATGAAGTAGATGAATGTAACACTAAACTGCACACTCCGTAAACCAGGCGAGCACATTCAGACATAGAACCAGAAATATTGTGGACAGCAATTGCAAAACTCTTCAAGAGAATCTAAACAACTGGGCCATTAAGAGGATTGCTGATCTTCCTCAAGTAGTCAAGTGGTCCTTGCAGATTATAAGAGCAATTAGTGTTGAAATAACAGCAGAAGTTTTGTCACTGTCCAAAACGCTTTCTCAATTTTATTATGTTTAATGCACCCAACTAGCAATAGAGCCAACATGTATCCCAAAAAAAGAGGCCAATTGTAGCAATAGGCAGCCTGCCAAAAGGTTCAGAACATTAATATTGCACAACCAAAAATTAAGAACGGACTAAATCGAGGAAGAATATAATATTTACCCGGTTCACTCCCATTTACTTGTTAAGAATCTGATTTTACAACAGGACAAAAAAGCCACTTTTAAGACAGCCTCTACCTCTCAATTTCATAAGAACGTCTGATGGTGCAGCCCAAATTTTAAGTCACCGATACTAACTGACCATCTAACATCGTGGAGACTTTCAGGGGTGCACAATTGTCAATGCAAGAGAATTCATAACAAATCCAGCATTCAATTCCAACTCACGAAAGCGAATAACGAGCAGCGATTGTAGCATTCAAAAGACCGAGACCACATTCAAATGTGCAAATTAAGCAAGCATAAGATCCCAATCAAACCATACTATCGAACAATTTACGGGACATAGAAGAGTAGATTATTAGTGTCATGTTTCATTAGTTCAAAAGATTGATCGACGATTTAGACATGTCAAGAAGCAGCCCTCCATGATTACATCCAGTTGCAGTAGCATTTCCAACTCTTAATCTGCATTTTACATAGACCATATAAACCGTCATCAGAATAAACTTATAATTATTACACCATTATTATAACAACAGAACTACTTAAAACCAAAATACTTACAACTCAAAATCAGCAGCAAAACTAACCAGCTCGAGAACCTCCACTTCGACGATCATACGGCCCAGAACGGTCACGGCTATATCGATCACCACCACCACCACCACCATGACCACCATCCCTGCTGCGACCACCGCCATACCTGTCTCCATTCCGGTCAGGTCCATAATGGCCACCACCACTGCCACCACCATACCTGTCATCTTTTCCACCATACCTCCCGCCCCTACCCCCTCCTCCTCCACTAGGACATTCCCTAGCAAAGTGTCCTGGCTTACCACACTTGAAGCATTCTCCTCCACCTGACCCCCGTCCACCTCCATAATCACGACTACCACGGTCACGGTCACGACCGCGGTCGCGGTCACGGTCACGGTCACGTGGACGATCATTATCATAGTCCCTACCTGAACTCTGTTGAGGTTGTGCCTTGTCAACCGTAATGGCGCGACCATCTAAATCAATTCCATTCATTGCATCAATAGCTTCTTCCATGGCTTTCTTCTCATCAAATGCAACAAAACCAAACCCTTTGGACCGACCAGAAAACTTGTCAACAACAACCTGAGTAATAGAGAAATCATAAACATTTTAAACTGACCATAAAACTCATCCAAGCCCAACTCACATGGAAGAACCAGAAAATAAAAAATAAAATATAAAAACAGCTGTTTTGCAAGTTAGTAAATAAGTTAAGGCTTCTGAAACCTTATCGAACTTATCAAAATAAGTATAAAACAGCTGTTTTGCAAGTTAGTAAAATAAATTCAGAAAAAAAAACGCTCTGGAAAAACTAATAGTAATAGAAGTACTTATCAAATTGTATATCCAAATGTAAAACAACATATTTTAGAAGGTGCCTATCATAGAATGAGCCTATTAAAAAACTCAAATTTGTGCCATTTTTTCAAACTGGTCCTAGGAAAATGTAAGCCTTCTAAAAATTATCCACAAAAAGAAAAAAGAAAGTACTACTCCTAGGTCAATAAAGGTATTCTCTTGACAAATTATCTCACAACAAAGCCAGTAATATAATCAATAGTCATTTGTTTTCTGAAAAACAATTAAAAAATATGTGCAGGTTGTGAATTGTGATTCTGCATGTAATCATAATAGCAGAAAATATCACTCAACTCAGAAGGTAAAACGTGTAAACTAAACAATGGACTACATGAAGCAACTTCTTACCTTTGCCTCAACAAGATTTCCAAACTTCCGAAATGCATCTTTTAGAATTTGATCAGATGTTGACCATGACAAGTTACCAATGAAACAGCGGTACTCGGAATCCTCCGCCATCTTAGTACAAACTCTTGTTTGCTACAAAGAAAAAAGAAAAGAATAAGCACATTGAAAGAATGGGAATGAGATCAAAAGAAGAAATTGGAGAACTGAATTGGTGCATATTAATTGTCACGCTTATAATATTAAACATGTAAAAATGAGATCCACATAATCTAGGGTATATCAATGTATCACATATTCACATACAGAAAATGATAAAAGCAAATGCAACAACACTTGTGATATTAAAATCTGCATTGTCTTCTTAAAGGGGAGATAAATGCCAACTACTATGTAGTGTGATGGCACCTCTGTTACCATTCCAAATGGGTGGTCACAAGATCAAACTCCGGTGGGAGCACTGATTCTTTGGGCTGAAAAAAATAATAATAATAAGTATAGAAATATTAATTAAGAGTGTAAGCCAAGACCTTGTGGTCTAAGGTTGCACTCTCATATGGGAGAGTGTGGGTTCAAGCCTAAGTGGAGGCGCTATTGAATCTCTGTGCTTCAGTAGATTGAGAAAGTAGTTATGAAGAAATCCTGCATTGTATAGAGTTAGTAGCATTAAAAAAAAAAAAAAAAAAAAAAAAAAACTTGTAAAGAAATGAGTGTTTTAAAAAATGGAATATACATCTGTAATCATGTCAATATGCAATCCACATAACATACGGTTCTGCTGGTGATGATGACAAACATAATTGGAGAAATTAGGGCACACTGATTAAACTCCGATTCACTAACGGGATAAGTTCAAAACTTAAAATTTAGGGTAAACAATTCAACCAATTAAGATTTATAGAAAGGGCGTGCGACCGGGGAAAACAACGAACCTGAGGCGGTGAGGTCTGAGCGACTAAGCAGGAGTAGCCGAGCAGCGAGCCAAGCAGCCAGGGACGGTTGAAGACGAAGCCGGTCACCGGCGAGGCAGAGCGACAGAGCGGTGATTCCAGTGAAAGTGTCGCGACAGAGGCAGATCGAATTAGCGAAAGACCGGTGAAAGCGTAGGGCTGGAACTTTGGAAAAATGGAATTGAAAATTACAAAAATAAATAAATAAATAAATATATATATATATATATATATATATATATATATATATATATATATATATATATATTCCAATCCATTAAAATGTGAATTAAAGATTTTTAAAAATTTTATTTTCTGTTTTTTTTTGCATGTTTTTGGGTGATGATAAAATTAGAAATGTTAATTGTTAATTAATTCCAAGGTTTGTGGAATTTTAATTAATTTGTTTAGTCATTTTCTTATTCTTTGTTGTTCAAATATGATTGTTGTTTTTTTTGGGGGGGGGGGGGGGGGTTTGTGATGGATCAAAGCTCTTGGGTGTGTTTGGATTCGTTGTCGTCTTGAATAAGCTCGTTCACGTAATTGTATATTGTTATACATATAATTATGCGTTGTTACACACACAAGTATACTTTGTTGCACACATCAACATTAACAGTTGCACATAGAAATTATACAATATTGTACACATTAGTGTGTAGCATTGCCAAGGTTGTAAAAATTGTGCCTAGGCGCTAGGCGGCGGTCGACCGCCTATAAATTCGACGAGATCCCCGTTTAGGTTGTTGGTTAGTTCATTTTCTTTGTTTTTTTTTTTTTAATGGGTTATTTCGCTCAACCATAAATCTAGTTCAAAATGAAGAATAACTAAAAAACACGCGGTGGTATTGTTGTGATTTTGAGAATGTAAGTTTAGATGCTCTTTTTCTTCGAGTGCATACTTTTTTCTTTCTTCCAATGCACATTTTTCTTTCTTCGAGTGCATATTTTCATTCTTCGAGTTCACATATTTTGTCTCAGTACTTAGTCATCTCTTTGAGTGTAAATCTTTATAACTTTGAGTGCAAATATTTAGCCATCAAGTGCACATTTATGTTCGTTCAAGTGTTTATTATTGTGCATTATATTGCATATTTATTAGCCAATGTTTATTATATGTTTTGCATTCTTTTCAATAATCTATAACTAAATTTCTAATGAAATATGTGATATTTATAAACGATTTGTATGGGCATTTTCTACCAATAACTGCTTCAATTTGATTAAACATATTTATGCCTTCGAGTGCAAATTTTTGTCCTTCAAGTGCACATTTTTATGCCTCTAAGTGCATATTTTTATGTTTTCAAATGCACAATTATGTGCAGGTGTTTATCAAATATTTTATCTTGTTTTTAATAATTTATAATAAAATTTGTGTGATTTACAAATGATTTGTATTGACAATATATATATATATATATATATATATATATATATATATATATATATATATATATATATATATACACACACATACACGGAGTATATAAAAGCATAATCTAGTAACAAAATTTTTCCTCCAAAGTGTGAATGCATTAACTGTGTGGGTAGATGTATTTATACATATTTTTTTTGAAGTTATTATGTGTATTTATATTTTATAAATTATATTTTATTATTATAGATCTATCTATATCTCTATCTCTATATATATTAAAGCATAATGAAGTATGAAAAAGGTTTATTGTGTTCAGATTTATTGGTAAAGTTTTATATTTAATATAATTTGTGTATATATTCATTTAAACCTCAGTTATAATTAATTTGACTCCACATATAGGCAAATTATGCCCTGGACCCGTGTCCACAAACAAAAAACGACGTCGTTTTTCAAAAAAAACGCATCATTTAGTTATTTAAAAAAAAAAAAACGCGCGTTTTGCCGTTAACGGCGTTTTTTTTTTTTTTTTTTTTTTTTGGATTATGAATGTACAGTTATGCCGTTATGAATGTACAGTTATGCTGTTATGAATGTATAGTTATGCAATTATGAAATTATGAACACAGAACTCTAACATTATGAACTTACAATTATGAACATATATAGTGCTAAAATTATGACCATGGAGCTTTAAAATTGTGAATATAGAGCTTCGAAGATTATGAATGTACAGTTATGGAGTTATGAATGTACAGTTATAGAGTTATGAATCTACAGTTAGGGAGTTATGAATCTACAGTTATGAGATTATGAATCTACAGTATGGAATTATGAATGTACAGTTATTGATCGAATTATGAACAAAGAGCTCTAACATTATGAACATATATTGATAAAATTATGAACATAGAGCTCTAAAATTGTGAACATAGAGCTTCGAAAATTATGAATGTACAGCTATGGAGTTATGAATGTAAAATTATGGAGTTATGAATGTACAGTTATAGAGTTATGAACGTACAGTTATGGAGTTATGAATGTACAATTATGGAGTTATGAATGTACAGTTATAGAGTTATGAACGTACAGTTATGAAGTTATGAATGTACAGTTATTAACATATAGTAATAAAATTATGAACATATACTCCTATAACGAAGCGGTCTGAAATTAAAAAATAAAAAATAAAAAAATGGAGATAACAGTGCCTAACGGCACTGTTACCCATGTCTAGCAAGCATGCTGGACACGGGTCCAACGCATAACGATTGCCACATATATAAAGAGGAGAAATTAGATATAAAATAAATATAGTTCTTACATAAATAATATTTTTCAAATGAATAAGTTTTTGGTGGAGATTTTCGACAAATATCGCCTGTTATTTTATTTACAAGTTTTATTTAAATATGGTAGTTATATAATTAAAGTAGTTATTTCAAATTCAAATTCCTTTAAAAAAATTAACTTTTAAAAATATTAAATATTACATTGTATAGTTATACTTACATTTTTAATCAAACTAATTATGAGCTCAAGAACTCGAGTATGTTTTTCTGTTTCCACAACTATTACTTTCTTTGCTAATTCAGAGGATGTCAAAAATTTAATTGGTAAATTTGTTAAATTAATAATAGTTCGTGCATCGCACGTGACAATTACTAGTTGCTTTAATAACACTTGAGTTTAATAACTTTCATTTTGCTACAATAAATTGATTCAATTCAATTCAACATATTTATGCCTTCAAGTGCAGATTTTTGCCCTTCAAGTGCACAATTTTACCCTTCAAGTGCACATTTTTATGCCTTCAAGTGTCATTTTGTAAGAGAAAATTTCAATTTTGGTCTTATGACTATAGAAGTATTGTTAATTTTAGTCCCTGACTCTCAAAAGTGTCAATTTAGTACCTTGACTATGCAATTTTTTTCAATTTTGGTCACTCTAGCCAAATTTCACCGAAAAATTTTATTAGTTGAAATAAGGGAAAATTGCATCTTTAGTCTCTGAGTTATAACCAAGTTCCGACTCAGTCCGTAAGTTATGACCATATCCGAGTTTAGTCCCTCAGTTATAAGCAAAGTGGCGAGTTTGGTCCCTAGCGTTAATATCCCGTCTGCAGCTAACGAAAACTTAAAAACAATTTAATAATAAAGGGTAAAATAAGAATTTCAAATTATAATATACTTCTTATGTTGAAACTCATTGCACAACAATCATTATTTTCTTCTTATACCTTCAATCGAAGGTTTTTTTCTTCCCCAAGCTTTGAAATCTCAAACTCGTCTACTTCCAAGCTGCGAAATTCATAAGTAAGTTGTTTCTCTATTTTATATGTTTAAATAAATAACCGATATTCTCCGTATGAGCAATAAAAAAGTAACTTCGATGAGATGTTCTTCATAAAGAATATTGACTACTTTTTTCTCGATAATCTATATCATTTAAGTTACTTTTTTCTTGATCTAAAAAAGGGAATATTGATTATTTATTTAAACATATAAAATAGAGAAACAACTTGCCTATGAATTTCGTAGCTTGGAAGTGGATGAATTTGAGACTTCAGGGCTTGGGGAAGAAAAAGGCATTCAATTGTAGATATAAGAAGAAAATAATGATTGTTGCGCAATGGGTTTTAACATAAGAAAGGGATTATAATTTGAAATTCCTATTTTACCCCCATATTATTAAATTGTTTTTAAGTTTTTCGTTAGCTGCAAATAGAATATTAATGCTAGTGACCAAACTCGCCACTTTGCTCATAACTGAATGACTAAATTCGGATACTGCCATAATTTAGGGACTGAGTCGGAACTTGATTATAACTCAGGGACTAAAGATGCAATTTTCCCTTAAAATAATGAGGATATTTTGGTCATTTCACACCTATTTTCTTCTTATTCGGCGAATTCATCTTTTCTTGCAACCACCGGCAATAACACAACTCCTTCCCCCCTCCCGTTGACGGCGATGACCTTGGACAGCGGAGGACTAGGCAGATCGACGATGACTCTTCTCGACCTTCCTCTTCTTCGGCGAGGCTGGTCAGCAAGAAGCGAAGTAGTAGCTCCTTCGGGGCGTACTCCGGTGACCCCTCCCAGCTCAGCGACAGATCTACGCGGGTGCTCATACATCGGTGGATTGGTCCTTCTAGGCGAGGTAGCAGTGTGAATGGTAGTGGTGGCTGACGACGACTATAGCTTCAACCCTGGTTCTTGTCGGTGTGCAGCGGATAGTGACGACAGATTTTTGCTGGATTCTGAAGGTTAGGAGTATTATTTTGAATAAGGAATTTTGTTATTATGAGCAGACAAACACTAAGGTGAAAACAAGTCCAATTGTTTTTCGACGCTTTTGTCGGAAAATGGTGGAAAAAATGAATTCGCTGGAGAAGAAGAAAAGATGTGTTAAATGACTAAAATACTTTTATTATTTTAACTATTAAAATTTGACGGCAAAATTTGATAAAAGTGATCAAAATTGACAAAAATTTACATAGTTAAAATACTAAATTAACAATTTTAAAAGTCTGAAATTAACAAAATCCCTATAGCACCAAAATTGAAATTTTCTTTATTTGTAATTTTCAATTACATTATTCCAAAGTTTCAGCCCTAGGCTCTCACCGCTCTTTCGCTAATTTGCTCTGCCTCTGTCGCGACATTTTGTTGCCAGTCACCGGCTTCATCTTCAACCGTCGCTGGCTGCCTGTCTCGCTGCTTAGTTGCTCAGACCTCATAGCCTCAGGTTCGTTGTTCTCTCCGGTCGCACCCATTTTTATAAATTGTTGAATTGTTTGCCCTAAGTTTTGAGTTTTGAACTTATCCCGTTAGTGAATCAGAGTTTAATCAGTGTGCCCTAATTTCTCTAATTATGTTTGTCATCATAACCATATGTGTTTATGTGGATTTCATATTGACATGATTACAGATGTATATTCCATTTTGTTTAAACACTCATTCTTTTTCAAGGTTTTATATGTTCTATACTTTCTCAAAAATTTCAGCCCAAAGGATCAGTGCTCCCACCTGGGTTTCATCCTTTGACCATCCATTTGGAATGGTAACAAAGGTGCCATCACACTACATAGTAGTGGGCATTTATCTTCCTTTTTAAGAAGAAGACAATGCAGATTTTACTATCACAAGTGTTGTTGCATTTGCTTTTATCTTGTTCTCTATGTGATACATTGATATACCATAGATTATGTGGATCTCATTTTTACATGTTTAATCTTATAAGCATGACAAGCGTGACAATTAATATGCACCAATTCAGTTCTCCAATTTCTTCTTTTGATCTCATTCCCATTCTTTCAATGTGCTTATTCTTTCCTTTGTTCTTTGTAGCAAACAAGAGTTTGTACTAAGATGGCGGAGGATTCCGAGTACCGCTGTTTCATTGGTAACTTGTCATGGTCAACATCTGATCAAATTCTAAAAGATGCATTTCGGAAGTTTGGAAATCTTGTTGAGGCAAAGGTAAGAAGTTGCTTCATGTAGTCCATTGTTTAGTTTACATGTTTTACCTTCTGAGTTGAGTGATGTTTTCTGCTATTATGATTACATGCAGAATCAAAATTCACAACCTGCACATAATTTTTAATTGTTTTTCAGAAAACAAATGACTATTGATTATATTACTGGCTTTGTTGTGAGATAATTTGTCAAGAGAATACCTGTATTGACCTAGGAGTAGTACTTTCTTTTTTCTTTTTGTGGATAATTTTTAGAAGGCTTACATTTTCCTAGGACCAGTTTGAATAAATGGCACAAATTTGAGTTTTTTAATAGGTTCATTCTATGATAGGCACCTTCTAAAATATGCTGTTTTACATTCGGATATACAATTTGATAAGTACTTCTATTAATATTAGTTTTTCCAGAGTGTTTTTTTTTTTTTTTTTTTTTTTTTTTTTTTTTTTTTTTCTGAATTTATTTTTACTAACTTGCAAAACAGCTGTTTTGAACTTATTTTGATAAGTTCCATGAGGTTTTAGAGGCCATAACTTATTTTCGTGGGGCTATCCAAACATGTCTAAAATGAGTGAAGTGCTTAAAATAAACATGAATACGCCATAAATAAGCTCATTGGCCTTAGTTTCGTAGTCATGCTGTTAACAAGCCCTCTGACCAATATATATATATATATATATATATATATATATATATATATATATTCAATTACAATTAAGATTCACATGCATGGCCACCTTTTTGCTTTCATTTCTATCTCTTCCTTTTTCTTTTTTTTTTTTTTTGTTGTTCTTTTTTTATTTTATTTGTTGGTTCTGCCATTTGAGTTGGGCTTGGATGCGTTTTATTGTCAGTTTAAAATGTTTATGATTTCTCTATTACTCAGGTTGTTGTTGACAAGTTTTCTGGTCGGTCCAAAGGGTTTGGTTTTGTTGCATTTGATGAGAAGAAAGCCATGGAAGAAGCTATTGATGCAATGAATGGAATTGATTTAGATGGTCGCGCCATTACGGTTGACAAGGCACAACCTCAACAGAGTTCAGGTAGGGACTATGATAATGATCGTCCACGTGATCGTGATCGTGACCGTGACCGTGATCGTGACCGCGGTCGTGACCGTGACCGTGACCGTGGTAGTCGTGATTATGGAGGTGGACGGGGGTCAGGTGGAGGAGAATGCTTCAAGTGTGGTAAGCCAGGACACTTCGCTAGGGAATGTCCTAGTGGAGGAGGAGGGGGTAGGGGCGGGAGGTACGGTGGAAAAGATGACAGGTATGGTGGTGGCAGTGGTGGCCATCATGGACCTGACCGGAATGGTGACAGGTATGGCGGTGGTCGCAGCAGGGATGGTGGTGGTGGTGATCGATATAGCCGTGACCGTTCTGGGCCGTATGATCGTCGAAGTGGAGGTTCTCGAGCTGGTTAGTTTTGCTGCTGCTTTTGAGTTGTAAGTATTTGGGTTTTAAGTAGTTCTGTTGTTGTAATAATGGACTACTATGGAGTAATAATTATAAGTTTATTCTGATGATGGTTTATATGGTCCATGTAAAATGCAGATTAAGAGTTGGAAATGCTACTGCAACTGGATGTTATCATGGAGGGCTGCTTCTTGGCATGTCTGAATCGTCGATCAATCTTTTGAACTTATGAAACATGACACTAATAATCTACTCTTCTATGTCCCGTAAATTGTTCGATAGTATGGTTTGATTGGGATCTTATGCTTGCTTAATTTGCACATTTGAATGTGGTCTCAGTCTTTTGAATGCTACAATCGCTGCTCGTTATTCGCTTTCGTGAGTTGGAATTGAATGCTGGATTTGTTATGAATTCTCTTGCATTGACAATTGTGCACCCCTGAAAGTCTCCACGATGTTAGATCGTCAATTTAGTATCGGTGACTTAAAATTTGGGCTGCACCATCAGACGTTCTTATGAAACTGAGAGGTAGAGGCTGTCTTAGAAGTGGCTTTTTTGTCCTGTTGTAAAATCAGATTCTTAACAAGTAAATGGGAGTGAACCGGGTAAATATTATATTCTTCCTCGATTTAGTCAGTTCTTAATTTTTGGTTGTGCAATATTAATGTTCTGAACCTTTTGGCAGGCTGCCTATTGCTACAATTGGCCTCTTTTTTTGGGATACATGTTGGCTCTATTGCTAGTTGGGTACATTAAACATAATAAAATTGAGAAAGCGTTTTGGACAGTGACAAAACTTCTGCTGTTATTTCAACACTAATTGCTCTTATAATCTGCAAGGACCACTTGACTACTTGAGGAAGATCAGCAATCCTCTTAATGGCCCAGTTGTTTAGATTCTCTTGAAGAGTTTTGCAATTGCTGTCCACAATATTTCTGGTTCTATGTCTGGTTGTGCTCTTCCATGAAGTTCTTGTTCCTTTTTGATGGCCTGGTTTACAGAGTGTGCTGATAGTTTAGTGTTACATTCATCTACTTCATAGTTAGTACCTTCACCTGTTTAGCCTATGGGTTGCACACCTTTTTTTTTGTCCTTAATTGTCGTAGATCAGCTGCTTATTTTGAGTGATGAAATTGTCCAGGGAATAAATTCATTCTTGGAGTCTCCAATGCCTTTTCCTATTCCCTTTGGTGCTCGTTGTTGTCTGCTTGCTTCTTATCAGTATTGGTGGTGGTTGTGGGTAGAATTTATTTTTACTATTTTGGTTGATGTTATGTTTATTATTTCATTGTAGTTTCTACTTTTGGAAATCTGAAAGATGTGTTGCCTTCTGATTGCTCTTATTTAACTTGCAGTGAAAAGGTTATTTAGCATTGCATTATAATGATACACAATGTGTAAATTTGTAGAATATGAGTGTTTCAGAAATTTCCTGTATGAGGTTTTATTGTGTTTATTTTCTATGTTTGGGACTTGTGACAGATTGGAGAGGCTGTTGCAGTTTGCTATTCTCTAAGCACCCATTTGGCAATGTTGTGGTTGGAGTGGTTAACTGTCCCAACTGTTTGAAGAAATTTGGGATAAGGGTTCGATAGGAGTGGTGAACTATGTCAGTATCACTGCTTCACATTGTTTGAACTTTATAAAACTAGTATTTTATATCACTGTTTGTGTTAAGTTAGCAATTAACCAAATTGCTTTGTAGTCTGTTTATTTGGTTATTGCATTGACACTCGTCTTGGTTGCCTGCGCGTAGTTTAAATTTGATTCATTATAATTTGTAGTATAGTAACTTTATGAAAGTAGTCTCATCTTGTATGATTATGGGTTCACGGTGTTTCTCGATCAATTCCCTGAAAATAGATGTGTAGTAAACCAGTAATCCATCTCGTTTATTTTTTGGTTGCCGAAAGCCAGAAGACTAATCCCCCGTTCCAATGGTCAGCACATTAAGTGGTAGGGGACTGGCCAAATGGTTTACTCCATTCACATAGGTGGGGATCGAACCCCCAACCTCATGCTTAAACTAGTAATCCATCTCGTTTATGGTTATATATAGCAAACATGTTTTGATTTTCTCCTCTTTCCAATCAATCAATTTGTTATTTGTTAACCTATTAGGCATAATATTTTATTTCATACTTCCAAGAGTTCTAGCGGGATAATACCTTTTCAATCAGATATTGAAATATTAATGTCTTATAAAGAATTAAAAAATTGTCGAGCTCGATTAAACTTATTATGGCAATATATGAAAGGATAGCACAAAAGATCAAATTTGACTTATTGCACGAAAATTTCCTATTTGTCAAGCTCAAATACAAGTAAATTTGGATGGGGAGTGAAAAGAAAAAACAATAAGGGTAGGATAATTCCAAATGGCATAACAATATGTTCAACACAATAAATGTTTTTTTTTTTTTTTTTTAAATGTCCTAAGTAGATCCTAATCACTTTTAAGCTCGTATTATGCTTTTTGGAGCAAAGTATTGACCAGATTGATTTTTTCAGGATGGTCAAATGTTGTTTTATTAAAACAAGACAAAGATCCTTATAGTGAAAAACTTCCATGTTTGCTAGTTTCTAGCAAATATATATATATACTAGTCTTTTCTATGCGCGATGCGCAAAAACATATGCCCAATATTTATATTTTTAAAAATAGCTAACAAATTTTTACTAATTATAACAATATTTATAAAACATTATATATTCATTATATATTAGATTAATATAATAAATAAATTGTATTTCACTTAGATTAAAGAATATAAGAAAAGATATGGTAGGTGCATGTGCATGGTAAAAGTAATGGAAAAGATAACGGAAGTTATAACGGGTTAAGGGTATTTTTGTTCAAAAAATTGTATAGTACAACTCTAAAAGCACAATGTATAAAATGATTAGCATTAAAAACATGGATATAAATTAGGGGTATAACTTTGATTGAGACTTATTATGTTTTTAGATATATTGTAATTTTCAATTCCATTATTCCAAAGTTTCAGCCCCAGGCTCTCACCGCTCTTTCGCTCTGCCTCTGTCGCAACACTTTCACCGGAATCACCGCTCTGTCGCTCTGCCTCGCCAGTCACCGGCTTCGTCTTCAACCGTCGCTGGCTGCCTGTCTCGCTGCTCGGCTACTCCTGCTTAATCGCGCAGACCTCACATACAGCGGTCTCATTTCACCTCGCCTCGCCTGTCATTCGCTCTCATTCCACAGTAGGCCATTTTCCAAGCTCCACAATCTACTCTGCAAATCCACATTTGGATTCTTGTAAACAATTACACTTATCAACTAATCATTTCCGGTCTTCAACGCTCAATTGGATGTGATTTTTTCTTTTCCGGCGTCTTGTACAACGCCTTGAGGTGAAGTCTCACTAAATTAAGCTCACACTACATAACTTCTCTTTCTGTACTTGACTAGATAGCTTTATTCTCTTTTATGGGGCCCAGGTTTTAAATCTTATTATCATCCAGGCATGTTGTGGTATAACTCAATGTGCACTACGGGCTTCCACTGCAATGCTCACCAACTGTTTGCTAGCAGTTCTGACAGAATGTGCATAAAGAAAAAAGAATGAATACTCATTTGCAGTTTGACTCTCAGATTTCAGAAATGATACAAAATGTAACTTTATTGCTGAGTAACATTAATGAAAAGAAAAGAAAAGATTTGTTTTAACAGCTGGTCTGGGCTTATTGGCCTTAAAATGTTTTTATTTTTTTTCTCCCACTAGTTGATAGATTATAATGATAATTGTTTGCTGTAAGTTCTTTTTATGAAATGTGATCTGCCAGAAAGGTCAGTACTCAGTTATCATGAAATGAGAAGCCTATATGTGCCTATGCTACTGTGCGTTTTTGTTTCTAAGGATTGGGATGATATCTAGTAGCTTTATTTAATGTTGGACTTAGTGTGCAAGTTGGTTTAGAGCCTATGCAATTATAGTACACTTATAATAGACGCTTGCAATGAGTAGGACTTATTAGTGGAATGGCAAATTCGCGATACATTTCACTGTGTGGGTGAATCAAATGGGAATTTTAAGAATCTTCATTCTATGATTTGACTGCTCACAAGTTTTGACAGAACTTGGATACACTTAATGAAAAATATACTACCTTTTCAGATGAAAGAACTGGTTAAGGATCAGACTTTTGCAACGCATATGGTTGCTGGCACATGGTCTGTTGCATTGGGCACTGCTTTGACTTACCCACTTGATACTCTTAAAGTCCTTTTGCAGGTATGATTATTGAATGGTGCCTATTTCTAGGGAACACTAATTTTGTGTTTTGTTCTTGTTATTGCTTATATGCTGGTTTGTTGGAATACAGGTGAGTTCAGGTGCCAATACTCAACCGACCACTGTTCAGGTCCTTCTCAAGGCTCACACTTTATCAGGCTATTCAGGTAACTCCACCAATCACTAGCTTCCTCTACCGTCCCATCCCCCCCACCTCCACCCCACCGGTTTTTGATTCTGTGCCAGAGCTCTGGATCATGTCTAATTAAGGCCAAAGTTCATCCATGTAAAACCTAATATGTATTCTTCATCTAATCCCACACATAATGATATCTGTGCTTGGTGAATATTCTAGGTTTTTACAATGGTCTTGGGTGGTTGGCAGTGGGACGAACGTTAGGTGTTGGTACTCGTTTCGGCATTTATGAACTATTGACCTCGTTCTACAAAGGTATCATATTCCTTTTGCACTGTGATGTTCATGAAATCTATCCTAGTTCCTCTGACTATAGATTTTACCTGTGGCAAAGCGGGATTTTGTAAGACTACTATTGAACTAGATGATTCTGGGTGTTGCTTTGATGGGCAGACCAAAATAGAGTTTTTAATAATTCAAAATTTTCAGCAACTCTATGCCTTATGCATGATTTTGCATAAAAGAAAGTGTGCATCTTTTCTAGCTTAAGATGCCAAGTCTTTGAATCTGGTGTTCCTAATGTCAGTTGAAATATGATGTTATTCTAGTTTAATTAAAAAAAAAACAATGTATTTCTTGTGTAGGCATAGTGCAGGGTGAGTTACTGATGAGGAATCCAAGGGTGCTAAATTTCTAAAGTATGAGCAACTAATGGATGCATAACGTCTCTATTGAACTTCAAAGTTTTTCTTTTGTGTCAGCTGAAGTTATGTGTTGGATTCATTTATGATTTACCTGTTAATGCATTTGGATTATGGAGATAGCATAACTTTGGTGCTGCCCGTGATGGCTAATCATAGTTAAAGGAGTTGATCCTCCCTACATTACCAATGTATTGTCTATGCCTAGCACATCCATTTAAATCTCTAAGTTCCTTTGAAAAAAAAGTGCAAAAACAGAGGTTTTTCAAATGCCGAGTCCTTCATCAATATCTATGCATTTCAAATTATGGAGTATTTGATAAGTCTCTGATAGCATATTATGATTCTGATTGAATATTGACTTAACATAGTGTGGTTCTTCTACTTACTATTTAATCAGATGGTCGAGAAGACAATTATGTGTATGTCGCTGAGGCTTTAATGGCAGGAATTGTTGCTGGGGCTGTAGAATCATTCGTCACTTCCCCATTTGAGCTTATCAAACTTCGTTCTCAGGTCAATTCTGCTTATAGATGTCGGGACCCTGCATTAGACATTAAAAGGGATGCTGTTTCTCCTTTAATTGGGAGACTACTACGTGGATATACCCCAAATATGAAGGCCTTGAACAATTCTGTTGGTCTTCTGTCTGTTCTGGCTAAGAAACACCCCAATTTGGGTAATGCCATGAAAGAATATCCATGGATGATGAGTGGGTATGGAAAAGCTCCCTCTATTTGTCATGTTAGACGGCCATCAGATGTAATCTCTCTTGAAGGGTGGGGTGCTTTGTGGAGAGGAGTGAGGTCAGGAATCACCCGCGATTCTGTTTTTGGTGGCATATTCTTTTCAATCTGGCAAGTCCTACACGAAACAATGCTCGATTGGAAAGCTGTTAAGATGACTCCCATACCTAGGTAATACTTTCTTCCTACAGCGGTGCAGCCAGTTATTCGTACTGTTTACTACTGAATTTTCTTCTCATAGTTGCTGTAGAGGACCATTCTTATTCATTTTTCACATCACTTTAACATGTGTGCAGTCAATTATGGAGCCATTGTGCCTGTCACTTTGCTCTAATGCTGTGAAAACTTCAACTGCAAAAAGTATATTAACTTTATAAAGCATTAAAAAAACGCTTTTAAGTCTTTTTAAAAGAGAATTACCAAAAAGAGGAGAGAATTTTTATTTTTTTTAAAGCGGAGAGAAGGTATTTATTTATCTTTTTTTATCGTTTTTTTTTTGGTAATTTTATTGTAATTTTTATTATTCTTTCCTTCAGGTTTGATGAAGATGTAGGCCCATTGTCTCCTTTAGCTGTTAGTCTTGCAGCCGGATTTTCTGGTTCAGTTGCTGCTGCTGCTTCCCATTCATTTGATACTGCAAAATGTCGTGATCAGTGCAATGTTGTGCCTAAGGTGTGTTCCTGACAAAAAAAATGATTTTTTTCCCCTTCTATGTGCAATGTGCATGTCTTTATAAGCAATGACTATCTGTTCAACCAAACAATCTCTTTTAATCTCATGCTATAAGGTCTGTCTTGGCTGCTCACTCTAATCATGTAGCGCACTTTGTCAGTGAGTCGGCCTTTACCTTTATATTGTTAACTTAGTAGTCGGGCACAATTGTCTTATGGTCTATAAATGAAAAAGACTACTCTGTACAAAACCTTTTTCCCTGTCTACCGCAGATGTAAAGATTTAGTATATGGTAGTAGTAGTTGTGAACTTGTGATTAGTTCCTTTATGTTGTGTGCTTATTCTCGTTTTTTTTTTCTTGATAAGCAACTTATGTATACTTTCGTTTGCTGGGGTTTGAGTAACTGAGTGTCATATGCTCCATTTTCACTTTTGGATGATTTTCTGGCAGCATGTATCCACTGAGAAGAAGTTTTTCAAATTGGGCCTTCCTGGCAATACATTTGAGAGATGGTTCGGAATTCATCCAGCAGACCGAAAAATACTGTATCGTGGCATTTGGTTTCGGATGGCACGCAGTGGAGTTGCATCATTCGTGCTCGTAGGAAGTTACTTTTTAACGATTGATCAACTATTCTCTTGATACAAGGAGTTTGACAGCTGCAGAACACAGATCAAAGGTTTGTTTTCTCCTTACATCAGATTCAACACATATGAAAATGTTATGCAAAGCAATTTTATTTTATTTTTTTCCTTTCTAATATTCTTTTGGGTTTGCGTTACTGAGAAACTTAGCTTTCGATTTAAGTCTTGTGTTTTTAATAAGCTAATTAAAAAATGAGTACCAATGGATTGAAACTTGAAAGATTCTTCTGTTTTTTTTTTTTTAAATAATAAAAATTTGAGCAATTCCCAATAACACTTATAGGGGTACATATTTGTATCTGTTTTATTTTGAATATGGGTATTTTAATTATTTAAATGATATTTCTTTTCTGTTTTCTATTCCTGGTTCAACCAAACACAAGAATGTGATTCCTCCTATAATCTATGTTTATTCTCCTTGTGAATTAGATAGTAAAATAGTATTTCTATTATATTCCTTATTTTATTTTTGCTGAAATTCTTTTATATTCCCTTTATTTTTATTCTTTATACCAAACGCGGTGTTAGGGACCGCTGATAGGAATGCAGCTTCAATGATTTAGGATTTTTTTTTTTTTTTTTTTTTTTAAAATCTCTAGATATGATTACATACATGGAATTTAACCTCATTTCAACATCATAAGCAAGGGAACAAACCATACATTAGCATAAAACAAGGTCAAAACAAATCACCCAAAAAGACACTAATTACACAATGGGTCCCAAAATTTGAGTGAGTTTCATTTTTGTCAATGTACAGCAAGTGGTGCCTCCATTTAGGTGAGGGCTATTTTTCCATGGCTACCCATCTTCATCTTTTGATCCAATCCCGTCGTCTAATAAGTAATAAGTCCATCACAACTCCAAGGCCTGCCCACTTTCAACAAGCCCGGCCTGTTTTACAACAGAAAACCCACTTTTCAGGAAGCCCCATCACCACTAAACCATTGCTTCCCAGGAATTGAAGGCAAGGAGCCCGGCCCGGCCCCTTCCATGGAAATCGTTGGTATACTCTATTGTTTTGGTTATATATAATGATTTTATTAAAGAAAAACAAATGGAATAGAATAAGACTATGGGAGTTGTCGATTAACTTTTTTGCTTTGAGCTAGTCAGCTATGGACAATATAACTAGATTAGTTTAACTCTTTGTGGTCATTTAATTTGTCAATTATGATCATAAGGCAAGCTTCACTCAAAATGAATATTCAAATAGTAGTTGCGAGTTTTCCTAATTGCGTTAGTGAGTTTGACTAGTTGATAGCATTAGTTAATTGTAGAAAAGTGTTTGGTAAATTAATTGTTAGCTAATAGCTAAGAGCAGATTATATACAAAATAACTTTCTCAAAAAGCTCCTTTGAACAATTTTTTGAATTTTAACATTTTGAAGTAATAAGTTGTTACAAAAAGTTAATTAATCAAACACTCGTATTGATTGTTTAATGAAGTTAAACAGCTAATAATGGTCAAATAAGTCAAAATTAATTGATAGACTAACTATTTTACCAAACAAGCCAATAGCTCAAACTAACTTTGCAAAGCACAATTTAATTAAAAAGGGAATGAAATTAGCATATATGGAAACATACAGCAAATACATGCAATACAATACTAAATTAAAGTATGGTTTCCTAGCTAGCTAGGAGGAATGGAAGAAGATGGTGGAGCTGAAAATTGCAAGACTCCATCTCGTACGCGGAAGGTGACCTGCATCCCGAGTTGAAGATGGTAGGCGGAAGGGTGCTTGTAATTGTTGTTTCGGGCTTGGAGGAAACGGTGCCAGTCATCAAGTATGTACTCCTTTCCCAGGCCGCCTTTGAGGTTGCCGTGCTTGGTTAGGTCCATCCGGTGCTTCGATTCATCTTCCAAGTCTCGCAGTGTGAGACGAGCCCATCCGCCGTCGGCAATAGCCTCCCTGTGCTCTTTTCCCAATTTGCAGACGATGTATTCCTCCGCCTCGCGTATCGGTTTCAGAAGGAACGCTTTCCTTTCGTTGAAGTGATCTTCGGTTAACGTCATTACTAACGTGTCCCCTGATTCTCGAGGAGGGTTCCTAATTTCTGCCATCACACAGAGAGAGAGAGAGAGAGATTTGTTTTCAAGCTTTAATTTTGGAATTGAAGCTAAGCATAAATTAATTAAACCTGCAGAGAAGAGAATTAATGCATGCAGTAATAATATTATAATGATGAGATAGAGATGGACCGTAGTAATACTCCATATGTGTATTTATAACATAATAATTATATGCATGTATCCATTAACTCGATCTCGTAAAAATCAAATCTCAATCTATACACCGTACGTATATCCCAAAATCCTGTATGGCCCGCTTAACAGATCGATATGATGCTTAGCTCGCTCCTGGCCGGTACGTAATCTTCATTCTTCTCGATCGCTTAATCAAGGCTGCCTGCATGCTGATGCTGAAGCTTTGTTTTTTTGCTCTTCCAAAACGCATTACCGAATCCGGTCTAATAAGTCCAAACCCCTCCCACTTTCAACAAGCCCGGCCTCTTTTTCAACACAAAACCCACTTTTCAGGAATCAGGAAGCCCCATCGCCACGTACTAAACCATGGCAAATTATGCTGTGCATCCGTATGCATACGGATGCAAAAACGACGTCGTTTTAATAAAACGCGCGTCTTCCCTAAAAAAAAAATAAAAATCAGGTTCGATTCCCAGCAACAACATATGAACTAAAATTCCATAATCGATGAACGTAACTATAATTCCATAATCGATAAACTATAATTCCATAATCGATGAACTATAATTCCATAATCTAATCTATGAACTAAAAATTCCAGAATGAATGAACTAAAATTCCATAATCTATAAACTAAAATTTCAGAATCGATGGACTACAATTCCATAATCGATGAACTATAATTCCATAATCTATGAACTAAAATTTCAGAATGAATGAACAATATAATGTTGTTGCTGGGAATCGAACCTGAATTTTTTTTTTTTAAAGGAGAGACACGCGTTTTATTAATAAAACGACGTCGTTTTGGCATCCGTATGCACCATGCATGGTGCATACGGATGCACAGCATAACGATTGCTAAACCATTGCTTCCCAGGAATTGAAGGCAAGGAGCCCCGCCCTGGCCTGGCCCATTTCATGGAAATCTTTGGTATACTATATTGTTTTTGTTATAAATAATAATGATTTTATTAAAGAAAAACAAATTAAATGGAATAGAATAAGACGATGGGAGCTACGGATTAGCCTTCTTGCTTTGATCGAGCTAGTCAACTATGGACAATATAACTAGATTAGTTTATCTCTTTATCGTCATTTAATTTGTCAGTTATTATTATCATAAGGCGGGCTTCACCAAAAATACATATTTAATTTAGATAGTTTTCTTCTAAATAATCAAAGATTTGAAGAGAGTATTTGTAGTGTTACTCAAATTATTTTGAGATTTGAATATGATAAGTACTCAAGTTAAGTTCCTTTCACAAATTAAAGCTAATTCCAGATTGTCAAACTCTATACTTTTCTCAACACCAGATGAACATACTCTTACCAACAATGGCACTAATAATCACTGACGGAGCTATATTGTATGTGCCGGGGGCCTTGTCCCCCTCCCCCCATATATTTGCCCCTCCTAGTCTAGTAGCAGCCTAGTACAGTAGTACCATTGAGTCTCCCGAAACAAATACTTTTTCTTTTGAAACCCCCAACACTACTTCAAATAATGATTCACAAAGTGAGGGGCTCCTTGTGTGCAGTAAGTAAATATCTAGTCTCTGTGATTCATGTTCAATCGGGGTGTGGTGGGCCTGAAATTCAGCCTTTTGGAAGAATAATGATTCACAAACTTAACATAAATAACCTACTAATAATATATAATTTGTTAGTCATATATACTTTTCTTTTGTCATGTATACTATTACTACTACTATTATTATTATCCTAGTCAAATAGAGATAAACGCTTCTAATTTATGAGATAGTAAGTATATATTTTGTAAGTATAGTTTTTTTTTTTTTTTTTTTTTTTTTTTTTTTTTTTTTTTTTTTGCGTGTGATAGATAAACTACTTAAATTTTACCGTGATGGATGAAAGAATATATATAAGGATAGTACTAGTAGTACGTGATGAAAAAGAAAAGTAGTAGCTAGCTAAAGTACAATATATTGCCTTATCCATGTGGGGTACGGTGGCTATATATATATATATATATATATATATATATATATATATATATATATATATATATATATATATATATATATATATATATATATATATATATATATATATATATATATATATATATATGATGTCTTTTGGGTTTGGTTTCGACCTACCAACGTACTATCCTAGCTGCCTGCTAGCTGGTATATGGGCAGACCAGGGTTTAGTAATATATATAATTCATGAGAATAATGTATAATTCATTAGTTGAAATTGAAGTTTGTAGGATTAAAATGTAATGTTTGGAAAGGTATGACAAAATGAGGACCGCCGGGCAATGCAAGTTGATCGAGTGGACACATGCACAAGTCAAAACTCCTATGTGTGGGGTTTCTCAATTCAATTCTGATGTTGATACATGTCTCTGCTTGTACAGGCCGTGATGATTATTAATTTAAGAATAATATATATGGAATATTACGGTTACTTTCTTTTTATTTTATTTAAAATTTTTTTTTTTTTGAGCAATGCTATCAGATACTTATATTTTTTTTCCATTTCGTTTAAGGAGATAAACTAAAAAAAATTATTTTCATTAAGAGTCGAACTTGAAACTTTGTAATTATATAATTATTTAAACTGTTTTGCTGATGGAGGACAAAAAAATAGCAGAGAAAATAGTTTTTTAGAAAAGACTAAAAATGAATTAGTACTTATAAATCTAGACTAGAATCAAAAATGAAATTAACTAAGTCTTATTCATTAATGATTAGTTGATTAGAATTATTGTTATTAATTGAATAAACAATGAAATATAAGGGATAAAGTAACAAGTGTAATGATGGAGAGATGAAACGCACGTGAAGAGGTAAAGTACAGACACAAGTTAATTAGGATAGGAGGGTGAATGTGCAGTGCGGTGAAGGAATTTATGATGCTGACAAATTAAGTGAAATGAAGTTGGAATTATATATATATCCAATAAAGTTACATCATTGAATTCAACTGAAAACAGAATGAACTACTACTCCGTA